GGAGGGTGTACACTTCGAAGCACCCCTCGGTTCTCGGTTCAAGTAGTCCCACACTTTACCCCCCGTTCCGCCCGTGACGTTGCGGCCGAAGCCGACGGGCGCGGAGATGCAGTCCCGGTTCCAGGCGTGCACCGCGGCCCGCGGGCCGCACGCGGCGCACGCCGCGAGCAGCAGGAGGGCGTGCTTCGCGTCCATGGTGGCGGCCGGGCGCGCGGCGGGCTTGGCCGGGTGGTCCCGCGGCCGCGCGCTTAAGTAGCACCCCGCCGCCGTCCCCTCTGTCGCGCTCGTGTCGGCCCCCTGCACGACGGGCTCCTCCTCTACGCCGTCGCTCGCACGCATAGTCGAGGAGTCGTCACGAAATTGCGACACGGTGACGTTTCGCTCGCGGGGTGTGCGGTGCGACGGGTGGGAGTCCAATGCTGGCTGCACCATTTCAGGTCAGATTGTTTGTTTGGGTGTCCGCCGTCACGTTTGAAGGAAACAATGCTTCACCTGCCCTACGCCCCGGTCAGGCGACTCCGCCGGCCCGGCCCTTTGACGCCGGCCGGTGGGCAGATAGGCAACCCACCCTGCGGCGCTTGTGTTAGATGGGTTGCCTAAGCGTGGCTTTGCGGGCCAAGTTCTCGTGCTACAAATAGCAACTGACGCAACTGGCGCCTGTCTCCGAGCGGCCATCCCCATCCCGACACGTCGTTCGTCCTCTCTTGGTTCGGCCGGGCACCGCCTATTCGGTGTCGGCTGCTTCGCGTCTGCCCCCCCAAAAAATGACAGACTCGGGAAATTCGTGCTGAGCTTAAGAGGGTTTTGAGACACATCTCTCCAGTTTCCACCCGCGAAGCAATCCCGCGCGGAAATTTTTCCGTTTCGAATCTCAAGTTGGTCACACTGTAGGCACCTGCCCCCTCCCCTTACCCGCCCCGCTCCCCGCAGCCACTCCAAGCCGCGCCTGCGCATTGGACCCATGTCTGGTCTTGGACGGAGTATTCCCCTTCGTCTGCAGTCGCCGCCTAGGAACGCCTAGGCCTGAAGCCCTTGGACTAGCAATTTCATTTCATAGTGGCCAAGTTTGGAGCTAGTTTCTGAAAAGTCGACCCAGTCAAGGTAAGTCTGCGATACGTAGCCATCAGAAATATCCGATTGCCTTAGTGGCAAAACTTACCTCGCAACCGCCTTGGCTGTTAGGCTAGTAGTGCCTGTAGGTGCCCGGTTATGCCGGAGTTGAAACAATTAGGCTAGGATCTAGTTAAAACTATACCTTTAAAAAAACTTAACCTTTCATAGCAGAACAATGACTGGGAGTTAGGCACTTGTTGGAAATAGTTTTAATTTAACTTACTCTTGTTTACAGGCTTTGTACTTCGAGGCAGATATGTTATCGCTTTACTATCTTTGTTAAATATCTGGTACATTCTTATTTTTCAGGCAGTATGGAAGGGAGGAGAGGATCCAGATTTCATTCAAGAGGACCCAGGAAGAAAGCAGGCAATTTCTCAATGAGGAGTAATGGGTCGGGTCCTGCACCAAGTGACCCGGACCAGGCTCATCGTACTGCAAGGAGTCCTAGAAGAGAAAACGGCTCAAGGTGGGACAGAAACGGCAGTTTCCCAATTAGGGCTAATTGGTCTGGTCCAGAACCAAGTGACCAGGCTCGTCATTCTGCAGGGAGTTCTAGAGGAGAAAACAACTCAAGGTGGGATAAGAACTTGGCACCAAAGAGGGGTGGAGCTCATGGTAACCGAATGATGGGAAAATCTGAAGATGCATCATCTTCACTCAAACCTTTTCCTTTTGGGTTCCGGAGGTTGGAGGCCCTTTCAGGATTACCTGGCCTCAAGATTATGGAAATCTTAGCAGTGCAGCAGACAATGGCTGACTTTGTTGCACTTTCAAATCAAGCTGATTTAAAAGATGATTTCATTGCACGCATTGTTGTTATTTTAGGGAAACTGGCTCGCATTGAGTTTGATGAAATAGTGGTTCAGTTGCTCTCACAAATTTCTTCCTCGGGGTTCTTGAAGCAACTTTTATGTTACATTGTTGACTTTCAAGAAAAAGATTTTACTGCTGAGGACAACAGAGAAGCCTTTGTTATATTTGATAGTGTGGCAGCATTCAGTCATACTGTGAGCAAACTTTTACCAACTCTTGCATGTGAAAAGTTTTTACCAATTTTGAAACAATGCAACAATGCCCTAATGTCTACAACATTTGAAGGGATTGAAAAAGTTCAGGAATCGATAAATATTACCTTAGAAAAAATTACTGTAGAGAAAGAGAAAAGAAAAGCTCAACCTGTGAAAACTACAATTGCTGAAGAAGCATTGCAACTATCATCGCCACCACAAGATTTTAGGGATCTGAGTACTGTACCCCAAGAACAAGATCTGTCACATCGCCATTCCTCATTTCTGAGACCTTGCATAACTCAAGGACCGTACAAGAATGTTGAACATTATTTGGATGTCCAGTTTAGACTTCTGCGGGAAGATTTTGTCAGGCCATTGAGGGATGGAATTAGAGATTACATTCAGAAGAAACGTGAAGCTGACTCTGGTAATAAAAAGAGAATCAGAGTAAACAACATAAAAATATATGAAAGAATTGCTTTTGGTAAAGCTGAAATTATTGAAGCTAAAGTTGGATTCCCTGTAAATTTTGACCCCCAGAAGAAGTTTTGCATCTCTATTAACTGGGAACAATCAAAAAGGTTCATGCTGGGATCTTTGCTAATTTTGACAAAAGATGGGTTTCAAACCATTATTTTAGCTAAGGTATTGAAAAGGGATGTTCCAAGTTTGAGCAATGGCATTGTATTGATTGAAATAGCTGACCAACTTAATGACTGCAATATTCTCAATCATGGTCACTGGATTATGGCAGAAAGCAATTTGTTCTTTGGAGCCTATTCACATGTGCTTGAAGCTTTGAAGAGTTATGATGAGGTCAGTTTCCCTCTAAAGAATTATATTGTGGAAGCACATTTTCAGCCAGAAATGCCCACATACCTGACTGCCCATGGTGGTGACATTTCCTATAAACTCTCTGGTGCTCCAATTGATCGCAAAATCCATCAAGACTTGGACTCTGATTTGAGCCCACTAAACTTAAATCAGGACGAAGTTGGTTCATTCTCAGTAAACTTGCACCACAATGAAAGTTGGCCTGCCTCAAGTGATCTGGGTCTTGATGAGAGTCAGTATGAGGCATTCAGAGGAGCCCTGACTCAAAAGGTTATGCTGATCCAAGGACCTCCTGGTACAGGAAAGACTTTCCTGGGCTTGAAAGTTGCCACAACTCTTTTAAACAATAGTCAATACTGGCAGAAGACGAGTTATGATGAGCAGCGACGACCACTCGTGGTTGTATGCTACACAAATCATGCCCTTGATCAATTTTTAATGGGATTAATGTCAGTAACAAACAGCATTGTGAGAGTTGGGGGCGGTTCGAAAGTCAAAGAACTAGAAAAATTTTCAATCAGAAACATGAGGCGTTCAGTGCATCTTACTGGTTCTTTTATACATATGATAAAGAATTACAGACATGCATTTTCAAACATAAAAGAAGAATATCAGAAACTTGAAAAAGCCATATCCGAAATTGAGATGGGGAATGGTATTGTAGATCCAGTTTGCCTCTTAAACTATGGTGTTGTATCACATCGTCAATCTCTATCATTTAACAGTGGAGAGGATGTACTTGAATGGCTAGTAGGATTAAATATGACTACTCTGTTCAATGAAACTCAGGCAAATCTGTCTTCTTTGATTTTGGAAGATGAAGATAACAATCAAGACCTATATTTTTCTCTGAAATTCTCCAAGTTTGATCAAATTATAAACTCAAATACTAGGAGTTCAAGTTATTTGAAAGAAAGAAGAATATATATGCAACATCAATTGAGGAATCCTATCACAGACCCCAAACTTCTCAATTTGGATGTGGTTAACAAAAGTAGAAGTCTCAAGCAACTTTCCTCAGAAAATCGATGGCAGCTTTACAGGTATCAATCTAATTGAACACTTTTATCCCATCATATTCTTCAGAAAAAATAATTTGCTTTTAGATTTTGAAATTGTAATGTTATTTTATTTTTGCAGATACTGGGTGAATGAACTACTTAAAGTGCTTAAAACTAAAATTACTGACATGCAACCAAAATTGCTAAGGGCTGCAGCAAATTGGAAAGAAGCGCAAATGGTTGAAGATCAGTATATTATGTCACATTGCCAAGTTATTGGTATGACAACAACATATGCAGCGTCTAAACAGTCTATTTTAAAACAACTTCGCCCCAGAATTGGTTAGTATTGTTAAAAACTCTTCCAATAATGCTCCTTTTAATAAAGTTTTACTTTATATACCTATATTGCTTGGGGGCTATTTTGTGATTTTTCAGTTATTGTCGAAGAGGCTGCGGAAATCCTAGAGGCCCATGTTATTGTGTCTTTAACTGGATCTGTTGAGCACCTGATAATGATAGGTAAGAAATAACTGACTTCCAGGATAGTTATAAGCTTTCTTCTTATAAGCTTTCTTCTGGGATTGAAACTTTAGAATCTAATATACATGTTCCTTCCTGGCAAGGTGACCACTTACAATTGAGACCAAACCCTGCAGTTTATGAATTGGCTACAAAATACCATCTAAATGTCTCTCTCTTTGAAAGACTCATTAATAACAGAGTGCAGTGTGTATCTTTAACAACTCAGCATCGAATGCGTCCAGAAATAGCAAGGCTTGTTTGCCCTGCAATATATCCATCTTTAATCAACCATGAATCTGTCTTTGAATATCCTACAGTTAAAGGAGTTACAAAAAATTTGGCCTTCATTGATCATAGTCATCATCAGGAAGAGGTGATTATTATTATAACTGTGCCAATTTTCTTAGGGGTTTAATAAAATATTTATCAGTATGTTTCATCTTACCTCCTCACCATTTTATATTTTCTAATCTTATTTTATTTTTAAATTTTAGGTAGAAGAAATTCAATCATTCCGCAATGTACATGAGGCACATTTTATTTCTGCACTGGTCAGGTACCTTTGTCTCCAAGGCTACAATGGTAGCCAAATCACTGTTTTGGCTACCTACAAAGGACAAATGTTTTACCTAAATAAGGTACAACAGTCAATTTGTTTTCCATTTCAAAGATTATTTTAAAAACTAAATTGAATATTGCTGTTTCTTTTCTGTGTATTGAAATAAGTTTATTGTTTTTATTTATTTTTAGCTTCGTAATGAAAATGCCTACCTCTCAGATGTAAGAATAACTGTTGTAGATAATTATCAGGGTGAGGAAAATGACATAATTCTCCTCTCTTTGGTACGAAGCAACGACGATGGGGATGTTGGTTTTTTGAAAATAGAAAACCGAGTGTGTGTTGCACTATCTCGAGCTAAACATGGTGAGCTATTTTTTATAAAGTTTGTCACCGTAATATGACACCCATGCCAAAATAATTGATGTGAGCTTAATATCAAAAGTCATATCTTTCAGTGCATGCACTTTTTTCTTTCTTTTCTTTTTTAAATAATTTTAATCTGTGTTTTTTAGTTGTTTTTAGTAGTTTTGCATTTTAAACAAAGTTTTTGCTTTCCCTTGATTAAGCGTGTAAGTATAAGACTGTGTGCCCAAACTTAAAATATTTTGTTGCCTTTATTTTGTTCTAGGTCTATTCATCATTGGAAACATGCAAAACTTATTGATGAAAGGTCTGATTTGGCCAAAGGTTCACAAGGAGTTGTCAGAAATGAATGGCTTAGTCTCAGGACTTGAACTTCGATGTGAGGTTCATTCTACAATTACTGTTGTTACCGATGCTAGTGATTTCAAGAATGTTCCAGAAGGAGGTTGTCTTCTGCAGTGTAACACTTTAATGCAGTGTTCACACATCTGCGCTCAAATGTGTCACTCAACTGATAGAAAACATCTGAATTTCCAGTACAGTTTGTTCACTATTAATTGGAAGCTTAAGGATTGTTTGCACACCTGATTTTCATCAATTTTGTAAATTCTTTAGATGTCTTGAGCCCTGTCCACGTCCAGTCTGTGTGAAGAATCATCCGTGCCCTGATAAGTGCTATGAGGAATGCAAACCCTGTCGAGTGCCAACTTTAGTCACTTTACCTTGTGATCACTCAGTTGAGATACCATGCCATGTGAATCCTTCTAATTACAAGTGTATGGTAAGTTCATAACTATTCAAAGGAGGTAACTTGCTAAAAAGTTCTAAAACACATTCATTGTTCACCACTGAATTATTTTTGTTTTTAGGAGGAATCACTTTTTACATTATTATGTAATCATCAGAGAAAGATTGCCTGTCACCTTAAAAAAACACCTGAACTAATTGATTGCTTGGAGCCCTGCAGAGTTCGTTTGAATTGTGGACATGTTTGTGAGAGAAGATGCCATTTATTTAATGATCCTGATCATAAGAAAGTAAGGAAGACCTTAAAGGGCTTAAATGTAAACAGGTTCTGTTTCAACATCCTTGTATTTATTAATCTAAAGAAAACATTCTCAATTTGATTTCTAGTACATTTGTCGAAAGCCTTGTGAGAAAAAAAATATTGGGTGTACAGAGAATCACATCTGCATGTTAGCGTGTAATCAAGAGTGTGAGCAGTGTGTGATAATGGTGAAGAAGCTGCTGCCCTGTGGGCATGAGTGGACAATGAAGTGCCATGAAGAGGCAACTCGCCTATTATGTGGCAACAAGTGTCCTGAAACTTTGTCTCCATGTGGTCATAAGTGTTTGAAGAAGTGCAAGGATAGCTGTTCCCCTTGCTTAACAAAGGTAAGGTGAAACATACGAAATAACCGTGTGTTGAAATATTCTGTATACCGTATGTTCTGCATATATATGTAATGATTTTCCTTGGTCCTGTCTATAACATATTTCAGGTGGACAAAATTATTCCTTTGTGTAAACATGTTCAAAAGATGTTATGTGGAGATGATCCATCCAGTTTTAAAAGTTGCCAAAAAAAGTGTGAGAGAAAGTTGCCCTGTGGCCACAAATGTACCAATCGGTGCTCTGAACAATGTACTAAAGAATGTAAAGAATTAGTCAACTACCCAGGGGTAACTGGATGTGGCCATGAAATCCGTGTCCAATGTTACAGGAAGTATACTCTTGGTATGGCAATATTTTCTTTTTTCTAACTGGTGGAATAAATATTCAATAATAATACTAAAAATATAACACTGCTTGCTTTATACTGGTTTACTTACAAATATATTTACAGCCCCAAACAGCATCGAGCTCTTGCAATCCTGTCAAGAGCCCTGCAATGTGCTTTTGGAACCCTGCAAGCACCAATGCAGAGGCACTTGTGGGACTTGCTGGCAGCGGAACTTTCACCGTGGCTGTAAAGAACCGTGTGGTAGAGTCAATATCTGCGGTCACAGGTTGGTTTCTTTCCATTTATAGTCTTTACTGATGGTCTCTGAGATTTACATTCTCCATAAAAATTACATATTGATTTGTCTTCTTCTTTTCAGCTGTAAAGCCCCATGTGCAGAAAAGTGTCCTCCCTGTAATGCACCCTGTACTGTGAAGTGTCAGCACTCAGTTTGCCCACAGAGATGTGGGCAACCTTGCCCACCGTGCTTGGTAAGCAGCCCATAGTTTCCATGATGTGTCTTTTGTTGATGTTTTAGAAATACATCTTTCTGTTATCTTTTCTTAACTTAATATCAACTGTATTTTTTTGTTTTGTTTTTGTTTTCTCTGTTAATATTAGGAAAAGTGTACAAGAAAATGTTCTCATGGAAAATGCAAGAAGCTTTGCAGTCAAAATTGTGATGTAAAGGCATGTGAAGAGCCATGTCCAAAAATGTTGAAGAAATGTGGGCACAAGTGTGTTGGGCTCTGTGGTGACACTTGTGTGTGTGAAGAGTGCAATCCTGGAATCAGGGATATACTTTTTGGCAGGGAAGATGAGGAAAATGCAAGGTCTGTACTGAACGTCTCCAACTGAATTCTGAACATAATTGTAGGAAAGATATATATTTATGTATATGTATATGTATTTATGTACAACCTTGACTGATTTTTTCTTCACTTGTCATTATTACAGATTTGTTATTTTGCCAGACTGCAATCACATATTTGAATCTTCAGGACTTAAGGAGTGGCTATTACAGGATTCAGAAATTAAGGAAAAAGTCTGTTGTAAAGAAATGATGTATCTGGTAAGACAAAACTACACGTCATATGAAATTATGTGGATCTTTTCTCTTTTCCAGGAATGCCCAAACTGCAAAAAACCGATTCGTACATCCTTACGTTTTAATCATATAATAATGAGACATGCACATGATGTCCAAATGATAAAGCAAAAGCTTTTTGGAAAATGGGATGATATTTTGAAAGCTGGTCGCAAAGCTTTGGGCATGCTACAAAACAACAATATGTCTTTTCCTGATGGTAAATATTTATGTTTGTGTTATTGAAGTTGGATGTGTCTTACTTTTTCTCTCATGCTAATGTCTGTCCCTCTTAGATTTGCAGGATTGTATGTTTCTCACAAACACAATTATCAGGAAAGTTAAGGTACTCCCAACAGATGTACCACCACACAAGAGACGTAATCTATGGTTTGCACCCCCCCTCAGTCTAAATGAAGTAAATAGTCTGTGTCAATATGCAGAAGTCATGTCCTCACTTGCCACCCTGGCTAAAAAGGCATTTTACACTGATTCATCATCCCCAGAAAGACCAAGTACACACAATACCAAACGCCTGCGAAGTACATTTTTACAAAACAAAAGCACTGGATCCTTTAATGGGCAACAACTGAAAACAGCAATGCAGTTAGAGGTGAAAGGTTTTATGAGCCATTTTTGTGCACTTCTCAAAGGGCATGATTTTCTTCGTTTAAGTGATCAGGAGGTAAAGTCTCCAGCTCCCACTCATTAATCTTTTAGTTTTTCATTGTTTTTATTTTTGATTGTAATTTGATCTAATTAATTCATATCTACTTTTTTAGGCAAAAGATATAAATGTGTTGCTTAAAAGACTTGATGTGTTGATTCAATTATGTTTGCTTGAATCATCGCCAAACTATCCTCTCTTACAAGCTGAATCGAAAAACCAAGCCAGTCTTTTGTCGTCAAGGGTCAGAGGCATTCAGCTGTATTCTGATAAAGTAAGTTGGCTCTTGGCTTTGTTTCTCTTTTTTATGAAGCATAGCAAAAGCTAATCATCTTGGTCCCTTACTTTGGATTGTCAACCACCCCATCCATTTTTCACTGAGAGTACTTAACACATCTAATATCAATTCTATTTCAGGACTACAGTAGTGATTGTAAATTGATAAAGAAATTAGCAGATGAAGTGCGTTGCAAGATTACAAAAGCTGAAATTAAAAGTGTAGTTACAGCCATGGGTTTCAGTACTGGTCACTGGTTTAAATGCCCAAATGGCCATTACTATGCAATTGGTGAGTGTGGTGGAGCCAATCAGGAAAGCAAATGCAATGAATGTGGAGCGAAGATTGGTGGTACTAGCCATCAACTGACAGCTGGTAACAGTTTTGCTCCAGAAATTGATGGTGCAGCTCATCCAGCATGGCCTACTGTTTTAGAGGGCAGACCTTGAAGTTGAAGTTGGGGTTCTGTATTTCTTCAGGACCAGAGATATTAGATTATATTACTGTATTGACTTACGTAGCTTAGTTTCATTCAACTTATGTTAAACATACAAACTTAGCCTCCAGCTTATTCTTTCTTTAAGAGAAACATGATTAACTATATAGAGTTTTCTGAACCTCAACTTCAGATTTTCACCTGCATTCAAGCTATTATAATCTATTGTGGTGTAATTAAAGAATGCACTAAATAATCCGCCCAAGTATACTGTTGTCGCACATTGCTTCCCCAGTCCACAATACTTCCCCAAATTTGACTGGGAATTTCTCAGTGAAAGAAACATGAGGAGAGAAAGGGGTGACATTGAGATACCCCAAAATGCGAATACACTGTAACAAAAATCATTACACACTGTAAAATGATGCAAAATTGAACAAACAGTTGAAGAAACTGTCAATTATTACCACCGGCCAGAACTTACAATTTTTAACTGTGAATCGCTGGAGGTGAGTGTCGAAATTACAGTCTGAAACCAACAAAGGTGACAGTTTGAACTTCGCAGTTTAAACTGTAAAACTTTTAATTTTGCAGTTCAAACTATCAGAATAGCGACTGAAGACGTGATGTACAGTGCACGGTACATGAGTCTGGAGGCAAGGCAGGCAAGCTGGCACAGCGCCGGGTACGTCAGCCTGTGGGGTAGGCAGACCCGCACGGCGGCCAGCGCCCGCAGGCAGGCCGCCCGCTCACCACGCGCGCCCGACGGGCCGGCGCGGGCTCGGCTCCGAGCCGAGACGGGGAAACCGGGAAAAGTCTTGCGCTCCCCGCCTACGGACCCTGTCCTCGGAATGTAATTGCAAACTTGATTCATAGTCTGGGGCAGCCAAAATATCGGGATTTTGTGCACTGCAGTAAGGACAAGCATGGGCATTAATTTGATTGAGAATGTGACCATGAAATTAAAAACAAGCGGCTATGCTGCTGGAGTAAAAGGAGGAAAGATGGGGGGGGGGGGGTACTTTGCCTTCCGCGGTAGAGATAGTTTGGGAGACTTTCTAAAAGTAATCCCTAAAATGTTCATTTTGGCATGATATGTAGTAGGTAGTAGGTCCTACTATCATGATTTTGGGGGGGCTTTTACACAACAGGAGACTCACCTTTGCCTGAGTTTGAATCGACGGTGCTGACCCCCCCGCCCCTTTCCACCGGGTCGGCGGCGGCTGTCCACCGCGCCCGCCGTGGGGAAGCGCGGCCCAGCAGGATGGTCCGTATAGAACCCAGTTCAAGAGGCATGAGGGGCAAACGCCGGTCGCAGCTGTAGGGAGGGCTCTATCCCCAGAGTGAGGCGGACTTACTGTGGTTGTGGTGGGCAGAGCGGTGCAGCCCCCCCC